ACCCCCCAGACCAAGGATTCCAAATGGAAGAACGCAGTGATACCGCCTAACATTACAGAGGAGAAGCTCCGGTTTCTTTACGTGCATATTAAAGAAAAAATAACCTCCAAAGGCTGGAAGACTGTGAAAATCTCCCCGCGGCCCGCTGCACAGCCACTGCACAGCCGCTGCACAGCCGGGGTGCGGGGCCTGCACCCCGCAGCTCTGGGGGGCGTACCTTTGCTCTGCACCCGATTTACTTCTAAGAGTTTTATCTGGCAACTCATTTTCCCTCCTACTTTTTAACTTATGGGAGGTGTACTTACTAAGAAATACCAAAATAAGACGAGCCCATTCTGTTTCCAACCACTGTGTTGCACGGTTGGCCGAGGGCACGCAGTCAGCTTGCGATTTAAATCTTACGGGGCAGTTTTTTTTTTTTTTCTTTTTTTTAATTCTTCTTTATTAACATATAATGTATTATTAGCCCCAGGGGTACAGGTCTGTGAATCGCCAGGTTTACACACTTCACAGCACTCACTATAGCACATGCCTTCCCCAATGTCCATAACCCAACCACCCTGTCCCTACACCCCTCCCCCTGGCAACCCTCATTTGTTTTGTGAGATTAAGAGTCTCTTATGGTTTGTCTCCCTCCCGATCCCATCTTGTTTCATTTATTCCTTTCTTACCCCCCAAACCCACACGTTGCCTCTCAACTTCCTCATATCAGGGAGATCATATGATAACTGTCTTTCTCTGACTGACTTATTTCGCCCAGCATAATACCCTCTAGTTCCATCCACGTGGACATCCAGATGGCCAACAGACACATGAGAACGTGCTCCACATCACTGGGCATCAGGGAAATGCAAATCAAAACCACCATGAGATCCCACCTCACTCCAGTCAGAATGGCTAAAATTAACCAGTCAGGGAATGACAGATGCTGGCGGGGATGCGGAGAGAGGGGAGCCTCCTGCACTGCTGGTGGGAACGCGAGCTGGCGCGGCTGCTCTGGAACGCAGCGTGGGGCTTACAGGGCAGTCCGGGAACGCTGAGCACCGCGCACACCGAGCTCGCGAGGCAAAAAGCGGCTCAGACGTTCCGTGCACGCAGCACCGCGACGGTGGGCCCCCACCGGCTGCACCTCCCGCGCCCGAGCACCCCTGGGCCAGACAGAAACAAGTATTGGGTGCTAAACCGAGCCCTCGGACGACAGGCAGGGCCCCAGGTGGACCTCAGCGCGCGGGGGAAGCCCCCGGAAGCCAAGAGGAACTCCGGAAACGCGGAAACAGCTCGCCTGGAAAGTCCGACCGCGCGCCCGAGACCCGACGGACGTGGGCATGTAGAGCCTTTATAAAAACGGGGTTCTCATGCACACAGTCGGTGAGTGCAGTCGCTGCAGGAGGACCCGACGCCACCATGGTCGGGAGCTCACGGGAGAGGAGTGCCCTGGGCCCCTCACTTCACCGCGGGGGAGAATGAGCCACCGGGGCTTTCCGTCTGGCCTCAGGGGTCAGTCCGGGCTGCTGCTCGCCGGCTCTCACCCGCCCGCCAAGCCAGGTGCGCAGAAGGGGCGCAATGCCCTGCAGGGGGTGGAATTTCTTTCTTTCTTTCTTTCTTTTCTTTTAATTTCTCACGCTTGAGGTTTTTGGGGGTTTTTTGTTTGTTTTGTTTTTATTTTATTTATTCATTTGACAGAGAGAGAGATCACAAGTAGGCAGAGAGGCAGGGAGGGAGGGGGAAGCAGGCTCCCCACGGAACAGAGAGCCGATGCGGGGCTCGATCCCAGAACCCTGGGATCATGACCTGAGCTGAAGGCAGAGGCCTAACCCACTGAGCCACCCAGGCGCCCCTGGAATTTCTTTCAACATGGTTATAACTTAGACTCCACGGCTCAGTGCAGCAAGCTTTCTCCCAATTCAAAATTCCTCGGGACCAACGATCCCGTTTTCAGGCCGCGGTGTGGCGGGAAAGCGACGGCTTCGGGTCCGGTCCTAGAATCACAGCAGTAACCCTCGCCTTCGGGGACCGGAAGCTAAAAAAACGCGACGACTGTCCCGTGGTGGGCGGCTGGGGGAGGACGGCGGGATGGCGGCGTGCCGGGGAGCGTGCCCTCCAGTGGGTGGCTTTTTGGAAAGAGCACTCGGACCACCGTCTAGAAATCTCCCCCTTCATCTCTCCTCCTCGCAAAGGACACACGCGTGCGCAAGCACACACACGTGCGCGCACACCGGCACGCACACGGCACGCATACCTGCACGCGCACACACACACACACACACACACACACACACACACACGGCACGCACGCGCGCACACGACCTGCTTCCCCAGAGTGTGGCTGCCGGGCTTTCGGAGGTGGCACCGCGTCCCTAGACGCAGTCCCACTCCCTGGGGACCCGGGGCTGAGGGGCAGCCCCAGCAAGGTTTTCGTTTTCCACCCCGGGTTGGGAGCCGCTCGGGTTCTGGGCAAACCGCAGTTCCCACAGACCTCAGCCGGCAAACACAGAGCGCTGGGCGCGCACTTACGCTCGGGCTCTGGACCCCCAGCCATCGCCTCGGCTGCGCAGCTCAGGACTGCGGCCGCGGTTACCGCGGAGACGGACAACATTCGAAGCCCCGCCCCCGCTGGGCGGGGTTCCTCTGCTACTGGGCCACCCCCCCCCAGCCCCGCCCTCCGCCCTGCCCTCCCAGGCAAGCCTTCCTGAACCGGGAGTACCAGGTTTCTTGGCTTATTTTACTTTTTAAATTAAAACACTTTCTTTCATTTGCGAAACATCAAAATACCCTTGTACTCTAATACTTTACCAAAGCCTAGAGGTCAAAAAAGCAACTGGTCCTTGGCTGGGCATCTTTATAGAGACATTCAAGTTGCACAATGCACACCATATGCAACCGTACCTGGCATTCTAGCACGTAGTAGGTGCCAGTCACTAAATTATCACTTAGTTATTTTCCTAGTACGGAGATGAGATTACGTGAGGTAAAATAACTTGGCCACCATCAGTTAGTTAGCAGAGTAGAAGAATGTAAATGCACATCTGTTTGCAGTCTGTGCTCTTTCCTCAGGCTATGCCATGTGCCAAGGGAAGAAAAGCGAAAAATCTCTAAGTTTCCTATCTTTGCAAACTGTCGTTCTATTTAAATTTCTTCCAGCCAGGGAGGATTTGAGTGTCCTGGCATGGTGGCTGCAACTCTCAGACGTGACCTCAGGCGGGCCACTCACTGCTGCGCAGCTCACCGAGGAAGTGGTGATGATAAGGTTAAACAGTGCGTGTGAGAGAAAGCTGGGCACACAATCTCCTTTCATCTCCACTGGTGCTGGTCAGACACTTCGTAGGGTGAATGCTTTGGAAACCATGAAGTTGCCCCCACCCTAGCACGGCTTCGGTGGCTCCATACATAGGAGCATCTGGATTCAATCCGGAATAAATAAATAAAGAAAGAACAGAAGCGTTTCCTGATTTTCTCTCTCCCGCATTCACAGTCTTTAAGCATCTGACCATAACTAGAAATGCTGACATGAAAATACGCACACTGCGTAAGGGTACCTAACTAAGTATTGACCCAGGACAAGAGAAGATTTCTCCACATTCTGTTAATTATAAATTAGGGTGAGATGTGTGGCAAGCCAAGTTTTTGTATTACCAATTACTAGAGATGAAACAATGAGTCTTTCTGCTCCAAGCTGTTTAGTGATTGGGTGGCAGGCAGGCAGGTGACAGAGGTATTCTCCTCTCTCCTTCCACGGTTGGGCTCAGAAGACAGAGCTCCTGGCCCCGGGAGAGAAGGCCATGGGAAGTGTGGGCCCCAGAACCAGTGGGACACTTCCAAGAGCTCAGCCTGTGCTGTCTTCACACTATTCATTGGTACGAGAACGGATTTGGCTCATTCCACATGGAATTACAGATCACAAAGAAAATAATGTATGTCTCCCAAGTCGTCCCGGGTAGGACACATATACAGTTAAATTCAACCGTCTCTCATACACTAAAGATCAGGAAATCAATGGTCAAATTGCCATCAAACATTAAAACCCACTGCAGCTCTCCGACCGCTAAATATTTCAACAAGGTGTTTAAGGCAGAAAGATATTATTATCAGTGAAACTAACTGGTCCGCCAAGATCAGGAGATCTTGCTTGAGGCCAGATTTCTGTGTAGGAATCCCCAAGAGCTGCTCGCCACGCAAACTGAGCGAGCAGATACTCGAATTCGTGCTGTGCTTGTTTTTCAGCTCTGGGTGGCGCTGAAGCCCTCGGCAGAGTTACTGAAAGGGGCCCCTGCGGGTGAGACCGGAGCGCGTCCCTGCGAACTCAGTCCTGCACACTCGGCCTTTCACCCTGGGAGCATTCAAAGAGAAAACACGAAGTGTTGTCTGCTCTTGACGCTCTGCGAAGAATGCAGAAACGCACGATTCATTCCCTGCTCTAAAGATGCTCGGTGGAGAGGAGACGAACCCCTTAAGGGCAAGACGCGAGGGAGGGAAGAGACAGGTGCAAACTAGCGCAGAGGACGGAATGGGGGCGGGGGGTTGTGCTCCGGGCGGACCCCGCGTTCACCGCCCCATCATGGGCCAGCAGCCGGAGTGGAGAGCCTCCCCTGCGCTCGTAACAACCAACTCTTTGGAAATGTAACTGATCAAAAATAAACGTTTAGTTGCCGCCTTTCCAGCTGTAAGACTTCATTGTGTCAAAATAGACAAAGTCAAGACAACTTTTGTTTATTTTTTATTTACATATTTTATTTATTTGACAGAGAGACAGTAAGAAGAGGCAACACAAGCAGGGGGCGTGGGAGAGGGAGAAGCAGGCTCCGCAGTGAGCACGGAGCCCGATGCGGGGCTCGATCCCAGGACTGCGGGATCATGACCCGCGGAAGGCAGCCGCTTAACGACTGAGCCCCCAGGCGCCCCTGAAGACAACTTTTAAAGCGCCTTTGTGCTTTCTAAGCTCTGGAGTGACACGGGTGCCGCTTTTAAGGACGCCCCGGCGACTGTAGACTGAAATCACACACCAGCCCGACCGGGAGACGCGGGGCGCGACCAGGAGTCCGCAAGCTGCCAGCGAGCACCGGGCGAGTCGGGGGGACGGTCAGGTCGCTCGTGCACGCTGCAAGCGTTCGTGAAGAATTCCAAACACAGAGAGAGAGACCACGAGCTTCGGTTTAGAAAGATAACCCTGGGGTTCGCACTGCAGGCGGTGAAAACGGGCGGCGACGAGAGCCGGCCGTCGCGCTTCCCGTTCCACGCGCAGTTACAGCCCCGACCCCCTGCGCCCTGACGCAGTGCCGGCGAAGTCTCCTCCACCAATGGCCCGAGCGCTGCGGTCCCCGCCTCTTGCCTCCTGCTTTCCAAGGTCCGCACCCACGGGGAAATCTGCCCCAGGCTCCCCCTTCCCTCCCTGTTCTTCTCCACCGGAGGCACATTTCTCTGAGAACAACGTGCTCTTGTTTTTCCAATCTTAGAAATGTATAAAAACAAAGTATTTGCTTTGACTTTGCGTCTCTCTAAAGCAAAGGCACCCTCCCATTTACCAGACACCACAGATCCGGCGCAGGGAGGGCACGTGGCGGGTCCGCGCGGGTGGGGACCTTACCGCAGCTTTGCGCGCGCCCGGGGCTGGCGGAGGGGTCCCCGCCATGCCCGCGTCTGCCGCAAGGGGCGCTCTCTCCACGGATCTCAAACCTGGCTTGCAGCCTCGATTTTGCCCTAGAGGGACTTTTCTGCAATATAACTTTATTTTTAAGTGGCATTCGAGGACAAAATAACTACGAGACACAAGAAGGTTGGAAATGAGATGGAGAACACAACTTCTCCAGAAGGGCCCCCACCATTCTTCCCACCTGTGTCCTCCATGAGCCTCCTCTTAGTCCAGAAAGTAAAATACACCTTCCTCTCCTCAGACCGGTGCATAAAACCGCGTTTCTTTACTTCCAAACTGCCATTTACTGCTTGTCTAAAACTGTTTCAGTATTTCATTGAAATGGTTTTTCAACTGTGAAAATTGCTATATTGGGTCAGGATGTTTCATTAAAAACAATGAAAATATCTCTGATGCAATGGCTTCTGGAAAACCAGAATTAAAGCCATCAAGTGAGGGATAAGTGGGTAATGAAAATTCCCCTTGCTAACCACCCGCCCCTCCCTCCCGCAGCCTCCGGTTTCTCTCCCCCAAAACAAACCACATCTGGTTTCTTAGCTTCCAAGAGTCAGGCCACCCACAGACAGGGGCCCCTAACCACCCCCCACCATGATTTCCGTTGCACATAAGATGGCAGTTCCTGAACCTGGATTCTTTCTCTTAAAAAAAAAGTCTTGGAAATCATTCCACACCAGTATCTAGAGAGTCTGGCTTTCTTTTTTTCTCTTTTTTCCTCAGGTTTTTTTTTGTTGTTTTTTTTTGTTTTTGTTTTTGTTTTTGTTTTTTTTTTAATTTGAGAGAGAGAGCAAAGAGAGTGTGCAGGAGCGGGACAAAAGGAAGAGGGAGAGGCCAACTCTCGGCTGAGCAGGGAGCCCAGTGCTGGCTGGGATGCTGGGACTCCCAGGATCATGACCTGAATCAAAGGCAGATACTTAGCAGACCCCAGCCACACACGTGCCCCATCCTGACTTTTTAAACAGCTGTATTGTATTTCGTTTTTATAAAATCAACAGACAACGGGCTAACATGTATTGTTTCCATTCTTTTATATTAAACTCCTGTGCTCCCCTTCAGGTCACCTCTCAGGTGTGAGAGTATGCAGGGAAACCCAAGGAGCCAGGTGAGCCCACAGTCACAGGGTTTGTGACCAGAGGCTGTGCCCATTCACCCAGGACGCGCCACAGTGAGGGTGATGTGGGGCCGGGAGTTGATGGTCCAGGAAGATTTCTGGAGATGTTTTTGGAGCAAAAAAGGTGTTCTTATTAAAGCACAGGGACGGGACCCCGGGGCAGGTAGCACTGCTCTGGGACTGTGAGGAGTCGCTGACTATATACTTGAGTTTATAATTATAAACTATGTAATTTATACTTATATAAATATATAAGTAAGCATATAAATTTAAGTATATTATTTGAAAATCTAAAAAAAATTTTAAAAGTGTTGTGGGGGTGGGAGTGGCTCACCTGAGTGGCTCAGTCGGTTAAGTGTCTGCCCTCAGCTCAGGTCATGATCCCAGGGTCCTGGGATAGAGCCCCATGTCGGACTCCCTGTTCAGTGAGGACTCTGCTTCTCCACCTCCCTCTGACCAGTTTATGTGCTCACTCTCTCTCTCTCTCTCAGATAAATTTTAAAAAATCTTTAAAAATTTTAATATATAAGCTTATTTATATATTTATAATTTATATATTTCTTTATTTATATTTAGAATTTAGTGAGGGTACGGGAGAGCATAAGTCTCGAAGGAATTGGCAGCAAGGCTTCCATGACCTTGAGGGGCTGGCTGCTATGCAGATAAGGTTATTTACTACTTCCTAGTAAAATATTAGTCTTGAGACCCTCAGATGGGTAGGCCATAGCTTTGGAAGATGAATGCTAACAGGTATCTTGGGGGTGGGGTGGTGTTCACAGTCATCAGAGGCATCAGAGGGGAGCAACACTGTCAGAAGCCGAGCTCTGGTGACACATGAAGGGAAGTCCTCACAGGGAGCGGGAGGGGTGTGACCGTCTTCAGCCTCAAGAATCCTGCCCGGAGACCTGTGCTCCTTTCTCAACCATCAAGGATGCCTGTCCCCACTTCTTCACCACCAAACGTGGGGCACCCATCAATATGTTACCACACCCCTGATCTTTGCAAATACAAAATTGCAAACTGGTTGGTGAGAGAGGAAAAATGCACCATTAAACTGTGTAGGAAATGAATAAGATGTAATAACTTTTGAAAACAGTTGCAGGATTACTATTTTAGGTGGACGATCGGAGAGGCCTCTCTGTGTTTCCTGTTGCTCTTGTAACATCCACAGATGTTGTAGCTTAAGACAATATAAACGTATTATCCTACAGTTCCATAGTTCAGAGGTTCTAGACAGATCTCACTGGATAAAATCCAGGTGTCCGCAGGACTGCGTTCCTTCTGGGGGCTGAAGGGAGCATCTGTTCCCTTTTCTTTCCCAGGTCTGGCGGCGTCTGCCCTACAGGGCTCCTGGGGCCTTCCTCTACCTTCAAAACAAGTAATGAACCATGGCTGGGTTCTTTCACACCACAGAAGCTCTTGACCCTCCCTCTTCCACATATAAGGACCCTGGGGCCAGCTCTGGGCCCTCCCGGACAATGCTGGCTGCTCTCCCCATCCTGAAGTCAGCTGAGCAGCAGCCTTCAGGCCACCTGCTGCCTCAGTTTCCCTCTCTCACTTGACCTGATACATCCTCATGTTCTGGGCTTCAGGCCATGGACCTTTCTGGGGACCACTATTCTGCCAACTGCCACCTCCCACCCCCAACCAATGGTGAAGCCTTTAGGCAGCAGTCGGAAGTGCTGTGCTCGGAGCCAAGGAGGAGACTGCTGGCTTCCAGTGAGGCCCTGAGCTGGAGCTGAAGCTGCCCTAGGGACCCACTGCCCCCAAACTTGTCTCTGACAGGACAGAAGAGGTCAGGCCTCTCTTCAGCAGTGGACTGTGGATTGTCGCAGACTTGGGCTTCTTTGAGTTTTGTTTGAATCGTTATGATTGGAGAGGCCTGGGCATGTTGAGGGAACCTGTCCAGGAGAGTAGGGAGGGCTGACCATCCACAAAACGAGGGGCACTGGATTCTAGACTGGCACACATTTGCCACAGGGAGGGGGTATGGGAATTCCCTGTCCCTGCAGAAAACAGAACGAAAACCAGACTCCTACTCCATCTAGTTTACCAGGCATTTCTCAGTGGCTCTGATGTTAACTGTTTTTGGGAAAAGTACAAATCTAAATGAGCTGCGAGCTCCACGTGGGACTATGTAGAAGCCGCGTCCTTAAGGCACAAAATCCTTTCCAGGGTGGCTTTTTTCAGACATGGGAGACCCCCGTACTAGAGCCTTTTAATTTCCCCAGGGGGAGGTACTGAGCAAGAGCAACCGCAGGCCACGTCAAGGAGATCCCAGCCTGAACCCGCACCAGCCCTACCCCCGACTGCAAATGAAGGGGGAGGGGCGCGCCAGAGGTCGTGTGATTTTTCACCCCCCCTTTTTTTTAAGATTTTATTTGTTTATTTATTTATTTGACAGGCAGAGATCACAAGTAGGCAAAGAGGCAGGTAGAGAGAGAGGAGGAAGCAGGCTCCCTACTGAGTAGAGAGCCCGATGCGGGCTCAATCTCGGGACCCTGAGATCATCACTCGAGCTGAAGGCAGAGGCTTAACCTACTGAGCCACTCAGGCGCCCCTGAAAACCTACTTGGCTTGCTGGTCACTTCCTGTTTCTTTCTCTCTTTCTTTCTTTCTCTCTCTCTTTCTTTCTTTCTTTTTTTTTTTTTTAAGATTTTATTTATTTATTTGACCGAAAGACAGGGAGAGAGGGAACACAAGCAGAGGGAGTGGGAGAGGGAGAAGCAGGCTCCCCGCTGGGCAGGGAGCAGGATGCGGAGCTGGATCCCAGGAGGCTGGGATCATGACCTGAGCAGAAGGCAGAGGCTTAAGGACTGAGCCACCCAGGCGCCCCCACTTCCTGTTTCTTAACCTTACTTTGCATCACTTGTATTTTCATTGGAAGCAAGAGTTGCTCACATCAATAATAATAATAATAATGATGATGATGATAGTGGCCTAATCTTCCCTGAACGCAAAAACAGGCAGGCGTGGTGATCCCAGCTCGCTGGAGGGGCAGGGGTGGGTGTCCCACTCCTTAGGAGGAGGACAGTCCTCCTCGCCTTTCCAAGAGCAGATGCTTCCCTAGAAGGCAGATGCGGCAGCCGCAGAGGTGTAAGTGCGAGGAGAAGGGGAGTCTTTCCAAGGCCATGTGGCAGCGAGAGGATTATTCTCCTGAGGTGGGGGAAACACTGTTACTGCAATACGAAATCAAGCCAGAGTTTAAGCCACTGCAAGAAGAAAAGCTGTGCCAGCGAGGCAGAGGGAAGCCAGGCCCGGGTGCTGAGCCTGCAGCAGATGGGCCGGGGGACCCCCGCTGAGCCCTCTGCCCCCACCCCGCTGGGCCCCCACTGCACTGCCCCTCCCCCGCATGTACCTGCTCCCTCTGCCCTGCTCCCCCTCTGCTCGCCTCCACCCCCCCAAGACACATGCTGTCCCCATTTCATTCGCTGCACCAGTTCTCAGAACATGCGGGAGGTTCATGCTCAACCCTGGGAGGATGTTGAGAATCTTAATTCTTTCTAGCGGCTCCAAACTTACTTGATGGTGGAACTTTCTAGTTTTTTTTGTTTCGTTTTGTTTTTTTAAGGTACAACTCTGATGAGGCAACAGGCTTTAAGAAAAGCTGAATTCGTTGGATTCCCTTTCTAAGCCTCCTTGTCCTTAAATGGGAGCATCATAGTTGCTTTTGGGGGGATTCCAGGAGAAGGTAGAGCGCTGTGATGTCTGCTTTGTCCTCTGGGGCCTCCCTTGTCCACTTCCACTTGGGGAAGGCAGTGATGCAGCAGGGGACAGAGGTGTTTGCCTTGAGTCTCCTTTCTGGAGCGTGGCCTTTGTGTCGGAAAACAGTGGCTTGGGAGGACATCTGCTGGGGCAAAGAACAGAGCCTCGGAGGGGAGAAGCCGACCAGAAGGAGAGGAAACTCTGAGCTTGAGGCCCCTTGGGGTCCAGGGCTCTCCCAGTGCAGTTGGATCCCTTCATTGCAGGAGGAGGGGTTACCACTTGTCTTGTTGCCCTAAGGGTAGGTTCTTTCCTTTGTGTTTGGGGAGTGTGCTGTGAAGTGACCCTTGCTTCCCTGGAACCTTCCCCTCTCCTATGGGGCTTGCCCTGCCTGAGTCAGCCTCGGGCCTTTCACGGCCATCATTCTGTGAAAAAGAGCTATTTGGGACTAATCGCCAATGAGGGACATACTTTATTTTTTTCCCTTTCATTGTCACTTTCCAAGGAAGGAGTTGGGGTGGGAGTCACCTCCCTAATGAATTCAGTCCTAGAGTATGAAGCTGGATGACCGGCTATCAGACGCAAAGGAAAGATCTCGCGCCGCTGGTGGAAGGTTGAACCAATGCCCCAGCCATCATGATTTCACGTGGCAAAAACTCAGTAACTCCGAAGGCTTAGCAAATGGGGTGTTTTGATGCATGCTTTTTCTAGTTAATACAAGGGCAAGCAGTTACATATTTTTTTTCTTTTTTTAAAAAAAGATTTTATTTGAGACAGAGAACGTGAAAGAGAGAGAGCAAGAGCACAAACAGGGGAGAAGGGCAGAGGGAGAAGCAGGATCCCTGCTGAGCAGAGAGCCCGATGTGGAACTCGATCTCAGGACCCTGGGATCATGACCCGAGCTGAAGGCAGAGGCTTCACTGACGGAGCCACCCAGGTACCCCTGGCCTGTTATGTTATTTTCTTAATGTATATTAATTGTATCCATGTGTCTTAGTTTTTCCATATGCGAAAATGTTTGGTTTTTTCCCCTAATGACTAAGCATTTACCGTACGCTGACAGCATCATTCTGAGCAAGACCTCTACCTGATTAGTGATACAGGCATCTGAAAGGCTAGACATTATGTGATTATGTGTAATGACCAAGTAAAAAGTTGGAAGCTTGTGTTTCGAATTAGTTCCTGATTTTCTTTTCTGGTCAGTTTCCTTTTTCTCCTCCATGTCCCTCAACGAAAAGTCTACATCTGTGGGCAGTGGGTGGGAGGCTTCTGCTTTGACAGAGAGAGGAGGTGAGGGGAGGAGGAGGGCAGAGAGTTCACAGAACAGCACTTCTGTTTGGTTTCTGCTGCATTAGGCTTCCGTATCCTTCTTCTTCTTCTTTTTAAGATTTTATTTATTCATTTGAAAAAGAGAGAGCACAAGCAGGAAGAGCAGGGGCAGAGGGAGAAGCAGGCTCCCCGCTGAGCAGGGAGCCCAACATGGGACTTGATCCGGAGACCCTGAGATCATGACCTGAGCCGAAGGCAGACACTTACCCAACTGAGCCATGCAGGGGTCCCAAGCTTTGGTATTCTGATGAGAACAGCAGCAGGTGTGGATTACTTGGAACGTGTTTGGGAATCATCTCGTTAACTCTGCGAGATTTTCAGGTCTACAAATGTGGTTTCACCTCTCTGGGACGGACGGTACAGGCGGGAATCGCAGAGCAGGTGCACAGAAAGCAATGGCAAAGCAGCATAGGCTTCAGGGAGATGGAGCAGTTGATTCTAAACCCAAGGAAACCTCGTGCCTGTCCTGCCTTCTGCTCCTAATTCCCTCCTTCCACCTTGCACACATTAAGTGCCCACATTAAATGCATGTTTGCTTGATAAGTGTTGCTCTTCAGGGTTTCTTTTGCTTCAGGACATAGATTCATTGGAGAAACGTTCCTCTCCTCAAAGCTCTCAAGTTACAGAAGATTGATGGAAAAATCAGAAGTGTGCATAATTAAGGATTCAAATTAAGATCAGCTCTACAGAGTACCAATCTGCAACTTGAGTTACCAAATAGGTTTATGGATATATTAATTCATGAAATTCATTTTAACACAGTCAACATTTTATTCGGTTTCACAGGAAATGAATACTTTAACAAAAATCCTATCTCAACACATACAGTGCTACACACTCCGAGGGCATTCCGTTAGTGAGAGTTGGTGGTGCAGGAGAAGTCCATTTTAGGGTCTGTCTACACTTTTGTCTAATTAACAAGGCTGTGGACTCTCATATTTAACAATGTAACAGGTCTTTATTCCAAGAAACATTTTGTTAATGCCCAAATTTAGTTCTGATATGTTTGTGGTGGGGAGCATCTATGGATACAAATGAACTTCTAACTTTTTGGTCTCAAATATTGACCATTTGCCTGCCCACCTGTTGGTAAGCAGGGATAGCCAAATAAACACAATTTCTTTAAGCTGTCAAGATAAAGCCATGAGTATACTTATTGTGATACACAGATGATGTGAGGTTTAACCGACTTCTTTAACCGTCTTCTTTACCGGAACAGAGAATCCCAGCACTTAGACACATAAGCATGCACACAATGGGAGTCCTTCCTGCTCTTGCCCAAGGGAATCTGGATGGTTCTGGGGGCCCCTGGAGGCCAGGGAAGTTATTTCAGGAGTCTGAGAGTCAGCACTCGGGGGCCACTAGCTTTGTTATCTGAAGCACTCGTTCTAAAAGACTAGTTCCTCCCAAATAATCTTCGAGCCTTTAAAATTATACAATGGAGCTAATAAATCATGTTACACAATTTAATGTTGTATGTTGTCTCATCTTTTCTGCTAGGAAATAGCTGAAGCAGACACACCTCATCTCGCCAAAGTGAACTTGGG